TTTATAATTTTTCAGTTTAGGCATTGTTATCATAGCAATATGATTTGTTTTGAAAAATAAACATATGTTTTATTAATGTAATAGTATACAACAGTTGATAACTTTTAAATAATGAAGTCCATAAATATTTTATTGGTGTGGTATTTCGTTGACATGGTTACTAAACTCATCTGTCACTTGGCTGTTTTAACCTGGAAACATACGAATCATTTTTCTATTATTATTAGTATTTCATATTTTATTAGTGAAACGTTTTACGGATACTGTGTCGAAATGTCAGATTTAGAAGACATTCAACCTAACTGTGAGTGTCAATACACATTGACGTTAACGAATGAAATAGTTCAGGAACACTTTTCTGAAATGAAAGACAGTTTCAACCATGTGCCTAGTATTCATGAGGTGGACGAAGAAGAAACTGACGAAGAACATACGGTTGATCAGGAACCTGGAATTCCCAACGAAATAGAGCAAAATACAGATCTAACGAAGGATACCGTAGATGAGGATTCAATTTACAGCAATGATTCATTTTGTTCCGATGAATCCTGTAACGAGTCAGAGGAAAGTAATGTCACTTCAAGATCTCTCGATAATTCCCATTTTTCACGCAGTGTTACTACTCGGAAGAATAATCAGAACGATAGTCGAAGGGAACAAGAAAGATCTGAAAATGCAACGTACGACAATGAAATTGTTAATTCGATTCGTTGTAAAAGTGCAACATCTGAGGATAATTATATAGGAATCAAGCAGATTAAAAATAGAAGGAGGAATATGAGTTTTACAGATGAAGAACTGCGAAAAATAGAATGGGAGAATCAGATACTTTTGAGAAAGATAATGGCTCAACAACGACCAAAAGAGAAATTACTTTATGAAAATGTACCTCCACCTCGAATAAGCAGTTCTGCGATAAACAGAAGAAAATTGCAGAAGAAAATAGAAAATGAAAATATAGTATGTACAGATATTTGAGTAAGGATAGTTCTTTCAGCATAAATTAATATGATTAAAATGTTTATATTTACAGATGCTGCTCCAAAGAATACAACAAACTAAATCACGTGTTATGAACACCGTGACAAAACCTGGTTGTAGACAGACGATTTTATAACCTGTAACAAACAAACTATTTTTATACATTTTACACTATTTGAAAATGCGTATGTAGTATGTTTTTACTCCGTACATTAAGAATTTGTGATACAAACCTTATGGTTGTGATTCATTTGTTTTCTTTGCATGATACAATCTTTGTGTAACAAAACCAATTACACTAAGTTATTATTATCACCATTTTATTCGTAATTAATATGTTTTTAAAAGTAAAATCCAAATAATTAAAACACAGCAATTACCAGTCTTGAAGAGTAGGTACACGTTTTTATTTCGTTTTGTATACATCACAACTTTGTAAAATGTTTTGAAAACTTACCGAAGAAATTTCTACAAGTCAAGACTATAAAAATCACAGTTCTCACTCGTTCCAAATAACTTAATTATTACCTTTTTGTGTAACATCAAGACCAACATTCTCTGAGTATTGCCATCACTTTTTATGTACGTGTAGAAAGTACAAAAAAAAAAAACGAAGACAATAGAATCAAGAGACATAAATCCTTGAAATTAGAAACTCTTTAAATTCACATATCTGTTTTTTTTTTATTAATCTATGTTTCGATTGTTGTAAAATGTTACTTCCAATTCAGATGTACAACTTTTGTTGGTCGTTTAGACTCGGAACTATTAAAACAAAAATAGATGTACGATTTCGAATCGATAGCAGAAAAATTTGACAATATGAAAATTTAACAAGTACAAATTAATTTTGTCCGAATTTATTCGGTATTGTTATGCGAGGTACTATTCAACAACGTATCACAAATTACGCGAAACATGAAAAATAACAAAAACCAGCAAGTAGTTTAAGCGTTATCGATCACAAAATGAGTAGCTAATAAATATATTATTACTTTTCATATTAAAAAAGAAAATTGCTCAACCAGGTCTAGATATCACAAGACACAATATCGAAAATTTTTGGGAACGAGATTAGTCTTCATGCTTTTTCTTCCAAGATTCCGAGGATGACGGTGTCCATATTGTACTGAGTGAACGAAATGGATCAAAACCTGATCTCTCCTGCAGTAAGAATATTAATTTATCAGAGAACCAATTTTCCACATTATTTTCCAAAACACTTTTGAATTTTAAATCATACCTGTGTGTCCGGTTCTGTTTGTAACGAAGACAATTGTGAAACTACAGGTGGTGTAGCTGCACCCCATGGACCAGCAGCCCATACACCTCCTGTATTTATTCCCCAAACACCGCTTCTTTCTTCTCCTACTGCTGCTCTAGTATACAAAGGTTCCCAATTTGTTTCGACTGTTGCCCAGTTGTCTGTAAATGAAAATGTACAGTACAACACTGTTTCAAAATTACAAAAATATTATTAATTATATTTTACCTTTTAACGTATCTGTTAGCATTGGAGGTTTCTCCGAGGATTTTGGTGATTCCAACTGAAATCCACTTGTACTATCGGACAATAACTTAAGCATAGGATTATTATCCTCCCATAACTGACATCGTGTATCTTCCTCGGGACTTTCCAGTTCCATTAATGGTTCATCAGTTTCTGGAAGATCGTCGTATGGGACCAGTTCCCGCTCGAACTAAAAAATTCCAAAATGTAGACAAAGTACGTATACTAATGTCAACTGGTAAAATATTACTTATTAATTTACCGGCGGTTCCGCGAATGCATTTATGAAATAACTATTCGAGTGCTGTGAATTATTCTGCATCTTCAAAGAATCCTGACTAAGTGGCTTCTCTTTCTCAACAGATGGAACACAGAGAGATGGCGATTTCGATATCATTCTGTATTCCTCCATGCTCTGCATTAATTCTTGACTCGATTGTTGCTTAGTATAATCTACATCTTTGGCGTCGTTATTAAAAACCATCGACAAATTATGCGTAGTCGTTTGCGTTTTGTGTAATTTATTTAAGCTCGAGAACGGTGAAATACTTTCTTGACTTCGTGCCACAACGTCACTGAACCTGGCGCGGTTTTCGCCCCAACATGATGGCGGTGGTGGTAACGGAGCGGAAATTGTTCCCAGTGCACGTGATGAATCTTCCCTTTGACTAGTATTTCCATTCAATGTTGCCGCTATAATAAAATAATAAATTGAAATGTAAATTTAAAATGTATATACTGTATCAAGTATCAAAAGTATCATGTATACTGACGTTTATGTAAACCAAAAGATCATACGTACCTTTTATATGCCCTTTATCAATGCCTCGACGTTTTTGAGATCCTTTATCCTTTCGAGGAGGATTTTTATTCTGTCGTGGTAACTTAGACGACTCAACTGTACGTGTCGTATGAATGTGTTTTATGGTAGACCTGGTTGTGTTCGTTTTCCACCTGTTTGGATTATTATGCCTCTCCTTATCATACTCGTCGTCGTCGCAGTCACCCTCGTAGTTATCCTTATAATCTACGCATGGCACAGAAGCAATCGATTGAGGCTTAGTTTTTTTGGTTACGGGCTTTCTTTGTAATTTATCCGACTTTTCACAAGCCTGGTCAAAATTCTGTAACGATATTCATAAAATTATTTTATAATTCACCCTACCCTAACCTACCCCTTACACAACTTGATTCTCACCTTACATGACGGCGGATCATCTTGAACAGAACTTTCCGTTGTCGTGGACGACGTTTCTTCCTCTGATAGATGAGTATTTCTCTGATTATTGTTCGATTCAAATTTCTTAAACGACACATGATTGTTATTGCTGTTTCCAACCACGGTTTGCTTCCTTTTACTATCTAACTTATTACGAGTATTATTCAGAAGTCCCGTCGTATCAATCTGTACCTCATGGTCGACCAGTTTTGTTTCCATTTTAACACTCGTCGTTTGATTAGACTTTCCTTTTCTGTTCGTCAGAGGACTTGTTTTTGTAAACGTATTTACAGTGTACTTCTTCTCCTGAGTTGCTTGAATATCCGTAAACACGTTGTTCTCCGTCATACAATTGTCCGTTTGCATTTCTTGGACGTTGTTCTGCTTCTTGTTATTCTTTTTCTTGGCACCAAGCGTGATATTGCTTATAACATTACTGTTATCTAAATTCGACTCTTCGCATCGTTTGAACGACAACAGATCCTTTGCCTCGGTATCCAATTTAAATCTACGCTCTTCGTCCGCGGACCAATCAGGAATTTTCAGTCCTTTCTGTACACCATCCTTGTCCTTGTACTTTTTCACGTTCATCAGCGTCCAATCTGGATACGTTTCTTCTTTCTTTGCCGCTTTCTGTTTCTCCTCGTTCATTAATTTCTCTTTCAAGGAGGTCGACTCTTGCGCTGAGTGTACAGGCATGTGCGATAATAGCCTTAAATCTAAAGGTGGCTGCACTGGATTTTCTCTCGAGAAACTTGCTAAAGCTCCTCGTAGTATTCGATCTGCTTCGAGAAACGAAATCGCGAGAACACATATTAATAATATCGATGAAAGACTTATAGCTGCCCATTGGACGGCGTATTCCCATGATGGCCTCGTTAACGCGGCTGTACAAGCTTCCAAAGAGTGTGGAGGAAGAGTTGCGAGTAAATTAAGTATCACCATGCCATTCTTGATATCGCTATCAGAGCCTAAACTAGTCGATATCAGAAGCTTCCTCTCGATACGTGACAACGTGAAGTCTGGCGTGAATGCTATTTCCACTTTCCTTGTGGCGTTCGGGTTCAATTTGAATGGTGCACAGTTCAATACCTTGAACCCGTATCCCTCACATCGTAAACCATTAATATAAAAATCATACACTTCTATGGGAAGTTCTCCTGTGTTTCTTGCCATGAAGGATCTCTTCACTGTCAGGTTTGGAATTGGATTTCGCTTAAATCGTTCTTCTGCTTTTTAGAAAAAGAAAATGAAAATATATTATTCAATTATCTTCTTCCACTTAAAAAAAAAAAAAAAATACACTAGTGCTCAGTTAAATTTGAACAAACGAGATATAATAAACGTAAGTAGCACTGAAAAAGGATAACGCCTACGTTGCACTGAATCATCCAACATTAAAAATTTTTATTTTTATAATTTTCATCATATCTTTATGAAAATAGTACCAATAGATTGGTGAGGTTCTCCCGATGATAATGAACCCAAACAAGACATGAATGCTTGGTTAAATTTGAAGTCGTCCAAATTTAACCGAGCAGTGGTGCGTGTATTATTTTATATTAGATATTCTTATTTAATTAACCCTATAATTTGCTTATGTTGCTAAACGATAAAACGGGGGTGAAGAAACGTACATACGTTCACAATCTTTAAGATGTTTATCGGCAAGTTCAAATAATAAAGGTGTGATAGAACCTGGCTTTCGATTGCCAAACCTAAATTGTGCATTTGCACCCTGGCCCATCACGCGCAATACTTCCAAAATAGTCATGTTGTTTCTGCAATTGTTGAGAGTGCAAAAAAATATTCGTTTTAAGATTAGACTGAAATAAAGTTTATACGTGTTGAGAACTTTACCTAATATATAAAAGTGCGGATGATAAAGAAGGTGAGAAAGGCGTATATGATACTCGTATGGTTCTCGATTCCAAGGGTTTCAAATACAATGGAATCGATTGTGACGCTATTGTAATATCCCATTCTCTCTCAAACCTTTCTCTGTCTGCTATACTTTCTTCCAGCTTAAACTCTTCTGCGATTGTGGATCCACATTCTATGCATGTGAACTTAAACCTGTGCACAAATACACGTGACTATATGCTGTGTTACATTTGTTTATCTCTTATATGTTAACCACATACTTAGCAGGTAACGAATGATAAAGTCTTGTTCCTTGTGGATAATTCCAATCCATCACTAATTGTACTATTAAAGGACTGGTACTTGGATTATACACTTTAATGGTGCTATAGGACGTATTTCCGACTTGTGTCAAAGGAAATACTAAAGCAACTTTATTTTTATTATTACCAAAACCAGTCAATAAACTGGGCCAATGTGGTTTTATGTTTAAATAAAATTTGTGTCCGCGAACTTCTGTCGTATCTAGGCGTATTGTGACATTGTCCCAAGAACGACCGCCTGTCGAATTCAGAAACCGCGTATATCTCGTATTTAATAAATTTAAATCAGAGTCCCTCGTATGGGAAGGAAGGGCTAAAGTGTTCAACCATTGTTTGCCAGCTGTAATAGTATAAAAAATATTAATTTGATAATGTCTGTAAAGTGCTATTAAACATTATTAAGTTGAACGACTAACCTAACTTACCATTACTGTCCAATGACAGGCCCAAATAACAATGATGCTTACAAGCAGCCGATGGTTCAATTTTCACTGACCCAATGTAATTTTCGCCTTTCGTTATAACAGGCATCGATGCCTCTTCCAAAGGAATATACTTTATTCTGTTGTCTTTATTAACAGGCGCGATTCGAGTTACTTGCATGGGTCTTACAAACGTCGAATATACTTTCACTTGTTGCACACAAATCGACCCCTGTACAAGAATTGTTTATACAAGAAAATGTTTATTAAAAAATTGCATAATGAAGTGTTCCACCCACTTACAGGAAAACAATCCGTAAAAATGAGTTTCTTCAAAGAAATTCTTCCATGGGCAACTCTCATGTAAACTGGCAAAATAAATCTTTCATAGGTTGTTCTAACAAATACATCACCCACAATTGTATCTTCTTCAACCATCGGAGTTTTTACTTTAATTTTAAAAATAGCTAAGTGACCAGGCTTTATGTATTGCTGAAATGAGAGAATATTTATTTAATTTTGAAAATTGTTATCGTTAAACTGTTATTAATTATTTTATATGATAAATTTAATACTTACATTGCCTGTGTGACTACATACAGTTATATTACGAAGCTCTTTGTCCAAAAGATCAGCTGGACCTCTTTGACAACCCATAAGTTCCAATACTGCACCAGGCATGTTAACTCCCCACCCATGCAAATCTATGTTAATTGGATTTTGATTCTCCAAAGCAAAAATAGCTTCGTTTTCAGTTCCACTTCCCACGGTACCAAAGTTCATCGTACCTTCGTCACTTTCCCTCTCTTCGGGAACAATTTTCCTTACTTTCCCATCGTAACTTAATAATGGAACTTCGGTCACAGAAACGTTCGAATGAATTAAAATCGACGATTCCATTTTCACGTTATCAGTTTTTCTATCTTTTGCAAGTTGTAAAGAAAATATATTAACCTTTTGCTCTGGCTTTATCACTCTTGGAATAAAATTTTTTATCTGAAATATTTGAATAAAATCAATAATTGTATGTTTTTAGTAACACTCATTTTCTTAAGTTCTATGTTATCATTAATAAATCTATTTACCGTAAAAAGTGATTTCACATTCGATAACATTGTGACATTTGTGATAGCTAACGGTAATTTAAATTTATTAACAACGCTAAAATTTCGTGCTTGATTAGATTGGAGAGAACAATAATGCGTAATTGATGCGTTTACTTCTAATCCACCCTGTAGAACTTGTGCTATCCATGGAATTGTTAGTTTCTGACTAGAACCACCAGGACCTATGGCTTTTATTACTAATTTCCCTTTAAAATGTTGTAATTCTGAACCAGTCTTCCCTAAAATAAAATGTGTATACTAATATATGAAGAAACGAAAATATTTTGCAGAATGCAAAACTGAATTACATACAGTCATAAATTAACGCTCCAATGGCAATCGGTATATCCGTATCCCCTGGAATAACCGCTTGCTCAAAATGAAGTTTTAATGCTTTAGAAACTGGCGTACTAATTATATTCTGCAAAAATGTAAAAAACTATTACAAGTTGATAATTATTTTTTAATTGTTAATATAATATATTTTGAAAGTGCTTACCATAACTTTTATTGGCTTCTTTGCCGAATTTTTTAAAGCGATAGGGTAGTGAATAGGAGGTTGTAATGAACCTCCCATACCTAAATTGATTACTCCAGAACTTCCACCCCAATGAAGACCAGCCCCGCTTCTCACTTCAACTTCAACTGTTACAACAAGTACTTCTGAAGTGTTATTTACTTTAAGTCTGTAATTCGGAGAACTGTCAGTAACGGAATCAACTAGAATAAATATTGTCTTAAGTGAAAAAGTAAAGAGACAAACCTAATATACGCGGTATGATTTTTTTCTGTGTAAGCATTAAAATGTAGTCTTATGATGGGTTTCGTCTGATATGGTGGAATTTCCCATAGTTCGCGTGAACCTTCTGCTTCACCTGATGGTAATTCTAGCTGAAATTCTCCACCACTACTGTATACCTCTAAAACCTTTGAGAATACATGACATATATAATGAATAAAGGTAATAAAAGATGGATAAATTTGTGCTGAGGAAATTGAAGTATTCAATACATACTTGTAAAGCTTCTGCGTGTGGATTGTGCATGTATATAAGTGGAGTAAATGTTGCATTTAAAGGTAATTTAACACCCACTACAGGTCTGAGTCGATATGGACTACTGACACTTATTCCTTTTACCTATGAAAATAGGATTTCACTTTTAATAAAGAAGAATATATTTAAAGTTCATGCTTATAAATATAATAAGTTGATTACTTCATATTTCACAGTTCCATCTGCAGTATGTATAAAAAGATGTGTATCAATATCACCTTCTTCTCTGCCAAGAAAGACAACATCGAAAGTTGTGTTTCCCAATGATGGTATTACCTATGTAAATCAAATTGTGATAATATTTGAAATTTACTGTTATTTACTTACACTGTTTCATTCTCTTTAAACTTATAAATTAAATAATTATTCCATCTTTAATTCTCTTTCAATAAATTTTAATTATGTTACATCATTCCATATGAATTAATAAAGAAAAAAATATTTAAGGTGTTAAATTAAATGAAAAGTTTTGTCTTTTATGTATTGTTTCAAACAATAAAAATTACGAACTTATCTTAGATTATAAAAGACTTACTTTGTTTCGAAAGAATGATGAGTGGAAATGACGTGTATTTCCAGAAATTGATAAAAGGTGGATTGTTTTGTTATGATCTCTATTAAACAAGATCACAGTTTCTTGATGGGGTATACCAAGTTGTCTAAGGAAAAAAAACTCATTATAATATATTAATTCACAGTAATATAATTAACAATGGAGATTCACATACCTCTCTTTGAAGTCCAAAACATGTGGTTTGAAAGAAACATAAGATAACGAATCTTGTGTTTTATCTTCATCTGATGTTGTATCCCTTAAAACATAGTTCTACAATTTTAATATATTCTATGGTACTTTTCAGATATACTTCTAATAGTGGAAATTGAAAATAGGAAAGGTACAAGAAAAATTAGTTTGAAGTAATCACAGTTAGTAAAGCAGTGTTTAGAATTTTAAAGCTGTTGTTTATACATAGTCCTATAATGAAATGATTACATGGTTAAAATTCTAGTTAAAGTATCAAAGAAACATATTGTATTCTGCAGTAGAATTTTTTTATTATCATATTAATATAGTTAATTACTTGAAAACCCTAAATGTCCTAAAACCCTTATTTTGAAATGCTTGTTAAATTTTTTGCCCTATGTACACTCAAATCATTGGTAGAAAATTTTAATACTGTATATGATAATCTTAAAAGTAAGGAAGGAAACTTATAATGAAAACCTTTCCTACTTCCACTCACCATTATTTTAATGAGTATTATGCTTACCCAGCCCCATGTACTGTATTAGTAAAATCCTATAAAACAAAAATATATATAAACTGAAAAATCATATAAACTTACTTGTTAAAGTTAACATGTATTTCAAATAAAAAAAAAAGTAATAATAGAATTTACATTTAAAAAGACAAATATAACTAACCTTATGCATTGACATTGGTATGTTGTCCAAAAGGTATTGAACATCATTGTCATCCTGTATGAAAGCTATAAAAAATTTAATATTATTTCACAATGTGATAAAAATGAATGTTTTTATCTTATTTAATAAACTTATGAATATTTTTATACATAATACATTATAAAACAAAATGGAAATTATTATTTGAAATATTTATTAATTATTTAGATGGTTCTGATGAAATAACAATCAGTCATATAATTAGAAAGCATTTATTAGTAGTAGAGCAAAATTATTCATTAATATCGATAATGAAAAACATCATATTTATACTTTACTTTTATTTCACATAAGTTTCTTTACATACATATGACATAAAATTATTATGAATAATACCTAAATTATTTTCCAACTGACAATATCATGTTAAAATTTTATTTGTTAAAATGTGTTGTTACAAATGTTGTACATTTCTGTCACCATAATTGACCCTAATATAAGTCTACAGTATAAAAATATATTTGAGAAGTATTAAAAGAACAGTTTGCATTTCTAGGTCAATTCAAAATTAATTTGCATTTTAACGATGCAGAAAGATATCCGCTAATAAAGCGTTTACTTTTGTTAAAGCCAGTGCAGACATTATCATTTCTTAAAAAAAAAAGAAAAAGAAAACTTATCGATATTTAAGAAATATAATACAAAAGGCTAAAACAACATCGTATTTTGGGTAAATAGTAACTGATCGTAAATTAAATAACATTGTACGAGCATCGTTTAAGATGTGTATTATTGTAGCAAAACGAAGTAATTAAAATAGCATAAATATACACTTACCATTATTGTGCCCATGTAAGGACGGTCGAATTTGTGACGTCAGCTCGAAAAACGTTAACAAGAAGAGGCAATAAAGTACTTTTAACTCAGTCATAATAATAGTTTCACTGTATTGTTTGCTGTTTTGTCTTTAGCAGAAATGAAAATCCGCTTTCGGCCATACTTTTGCCACTATCGAATTCTGGAGTATCGATTGTACTTCCGTCCGATTTGAAACCTTTCCACAAGCAAATTTCGTGCGACCAATCTGACGAAGATAGATTATACGTAGTTGTTGCATCTTTTATTGTTATATCAATATATCATTGATATTTAAAATTGGTTCGCCAGATTGTTAATCCTTCGATTAATTCGTTTCTTCATAAATACCCTAAATTTTCCAAAAATGACTGAACGATGGCACTTTTATTTATTAATTACAGTTTTCAGACAAATAAAATTGCAATTTTTGTGATTGAAAGTGGTTTTAGATTCAACTACGAATTATACAATACTGTTACTTTATTATTTTTTACGTGTGTGTACAGTAACATTTAAGTTATGATATATGGATTAATGTAATGTGCATTAGCTATTTTGTAATTTACTATACATTTTTAACGTTTTGTTTTACATAATTTCGCTGATTTTTACGTTTGCAAATGCTCAAGTACGAATCACAAATCACATATTGCAATTTGTATACGAATCATCCAATCGCGTTATTTCGCTGTGGGAATATTTTCAGTTTTTTTGAATATTTTATTGAAATTAAATAATTTACAATTTCTACATCGCTTAATTAGTTGAATGCTAAAATATGATTAATTATTTGTCGTTGAACTAAGAAATTAATTTTGACAATTGTTAGACAACTAATTATCAAGGAGGGAATAACAACATGAATATTTAACCAAAAGTGTTACTGTTCTTTAATATATTCCAAAGCTTTCAACGCCACCTACTCGTTTAACACGTGTAGTTGCCCTAACCTAAAAAATAAACAAGCATAACATGCTGTATGTTAACGAAGTGAACATTTTATGTTTTAAAAAATTATACATGTTGCATATAACATATTTCATTTCAAATTGAAATATAAAAATTATTGTGAATATTATTAATTGTTACATTTTTACGTATATTGTTAAAGTAGTCATATAACATGCCAAACACAAGTATGTGATATTACATTATTCATGTCAAATTTTAAATAAAATTGTTTTAAGGGTTTTAATTAATGTGTATTATAAATTAAATAGATAATAGGACTGACAGAAAGAAACTTTCCCGGATCTACAGGAAGAAGATAAAATTACAAAGGGGAAACAAGGAGAAACAAAATGTAGATGATGATATAGATGAAAGTAAAAAGCCTAGGATTATTGTGCGTAATATACCATTTAAAGTAGGTGCATTTTGTATCAGAATAAAGTACGAAGGTCAATAATTACATTTTTGTTAGCATATTCATCTTTGTACAATTTGTATTATCAGGCAACTAAGGAAGATGTGAAGAAGTTTTATGAACCATTTGGTGAAATATTAGAAATAAATTTCCCAAAACGTATGGATGGTACAATAGTTGGATGTTGTTTCATTCATTTTAAACAGTTAGAAGATGCATCAAAAGCAATATTTAATACAAATAAAAAAGAATTTCTTGGAAA